AGGGGTCTTGAAAGTGAGAGAGGGAGGCAGAAGAGAAGAGTCAAAGGGAGATGTGATTACGTAAGAATAGTCAGGAAGGTGCAATATTACTGGCTTCGAAGATGGAGGAAGGAGGCCATGAGTTAATGAATGTGTATGGCCTCTAGAAGCTGGAAAAGAAAGGAAGAAGAATCCTTTTCTAGAGCTTCCAGAAAGAAATGTAGCCCTGATGACACCTTGATTTTAGCCCAGTGAGACTTGGGTCAGTCTTCTGGCCTATAGAACTGTAATATAATACATTTGTGTTGTTTTAAGCCATTAAGTTTGTAGTAATTTGCTACCCCAGCAATAGAAAACTAATATCCTATATACATCGATTTTGCCTTCATTTGTTAATCTTTGTGCCTTGATTAGAAAGCTGCTTGGGGAGACAATTTGTTAATTCAACAAATACTTAATGACTGACTACGCGAATCCTAGATTCCATATATTATGTGCCAGGCATTGTGCTAGAAGGCCTCAGTGGTAAATTCTACTAACTGTTTAAAGAAGGATTAACATTAATCCTTCTCAAACTCTTCCAAGAGATGCAAAAGAAGAGTAAACTTTACAACTCATACTATGAGGCCACCATTACTTTGATATCAAAGCCACACAAATATATCACAAGGAAAGAAAATTACAGACAAATTTCATGTAACTGAATATATGAGTATAATATTCCCTTATGCATATAGATGCAAAAATCCTCAACAAAATATTAGTAAACCAAATCCAGCAGCATGTTATAAAGGTTATATCCCATGCTCAAGTGGAAATTATCCCAATAATGCAAGGGTGGTTCAACATAAGACAACCAATCCATTAGTCAACTCCACATTAATAAAATATAGAGAAGAAAACCCCTGCAAGTTCAATACATTTGATTCAGAAAAATCATTTGATAAAGCTGAATACCTTTTCATGATAAAAAAATGAAATAAACTAGAAATAGAAGAGAAAATCCATAACATAATAAAGAGCATTCATAAAATACCCAAAACTAACATCATACTCAATGGTAAAAGACTGAAAGATTTTCCCCTAAGATTAGAAACAAGACAAGAATGCCTGCTTTTACTGCTTCTATTCAAAATTGTATTGGAAGTCCTAGCCAGAGCAATTAGAAAAAAAAAAAAGAAATAAAAGGAATAAGTAAAGCTATCTTCTCAGATGGACGTGAGCTTAAATGTGGAAAACCCCAAAGAATCCACAAAACACTATAGAGCTAATAGGTGAATTCAGCAAAGTTACAGGATATAAGATCAACATGCAAAAATCAGTTATATTGCTACACATTAGCAATGAACAATCTGAGATGAAATTAAGAAAATAAGAAAATAATTCTATTAAAAATAGCATCAAAAGAATAAAATACTTAGGAATAAATGTTGCCAAGGAGGTGCAAGGCTTGTACACTGAAAATTACAAAACATTGCTGAAAGATACTGAAGGCAGCATAAAGAAATAGAAAAATATCCTGTGTTCATGAATTGGAAGACAATATTATTAGGACGATAGTACTATCCAAAATGATCTACAGATTTAATACATTCTGCATCAAAATCCCAATGGCCTTTTTTTTCTTTTTTGCAGAAATGTAAAAGCCAATCTTAAAATTCACGTGTAATTGTAAGGGACCTCAACTAGCCAAAAAAATCTTGAAAAAAACAAAGTTGATGAACTCACACTTCCCAAATTCAAAACTTCTTATAAAGCTACAGTTATCAACACTTTGTGGCACTGGTATAAGGGCAGACATATATATATATGTCCGGTTGGTATATATATATATGTCTATGTGGTATATATATATCTATGTGGTATATATATATATGTCTATGTCGTATATATATGTCTATGTGGTATATATATGTCTATGTGGTATAAATATATATGTCTATGTGGTATATATATATGTCTATGTGGTATATATATATGTCTATGTTGTATATATATGTCTATGTGGTATATATATGTTTATGTGGTATATATATATCTATGTGGTATATATATATATGTCTATGTGGTATATATATGTCTATGTGGTATATATATGTCTATGTGGTATATATATATATGTCTATGTGGTATATATATCTATGTCTATGTGGTATATATATCTATGTTGTATATATATGTCTATGTTGTATATATATGTCTATGTTGTATATATATGTCCATGTGGTATATATATATATGTCTATGTGGTATATATATGTCTATGTGGTATATATATGTCTATGTTGTATATATATATGTCTATGTGGTATATATATATGTCTATGTGGTATATATATGTCTATGTTGTATATATATGTCTATGTTGTATATATATGTCCATGTGGTATAAATATATATGTCTATGTGGTATATATATATGTCTATGTGGTATATATATGTCTATGTGGTATATATATATGTCTATGTGGTATATATATATGACTATGTGGTATATATATGTCTATGTGATATATATATGTCTATGTGGTATATATGTCTATGTGGTATATATATGTCTATGTGGTATATATATGTCTATGTGGTATATATACATATATGTTCATGTGGTATATATATACATATAAGTCTATATGGTATATATATATATGTCTATGTGGTACTGGTATATATATATGTCTGCCCTTATACCAATACCACAAAGTGGTATATATATATATACCACATATATATATATATATGTAGATGGAATAGAATTAAGAAGCAAGAAATAAACCCATAACTGTATTCATGGATATATACCTCAAATACAGATGGTTCCCAGCTTATAATTGTTGAACTTACAATTTTTTGACTTTATGATGGTGTGAAAGCAACATGAATTCAGTAGAATCTATATGCATAAAAGTACTTAAAGTACAGCTACAACCATTCTGTCTTTCAGTTTCAGTATGATATTTAATAAATTACATGAGATAGTCAATACTTCTTTATAAACTTGGCTTTGTGTTACATGATTTTGCCCAACTGTAGCCTAATTGTAAGTGTTCTGATCAGGTGTAAGGTAGGCTGGGCTAAACTATGATGATTGGTAGGTTAGCTGTTGATATGGTTTGGCTCTGTGTCCCCACCCAAATCTCATGTCGAACTGTAATCCCCATATGTCAGAGGAGAGGCCTGGTGGGAGGTGATTGGATTGTAGGGGCAGATATCCCCTTGCTGTTCTCATGATAGTGAGTGAGTTCTCATGAGATCTGATGGTTTAAAAGTGTATGACCTTTCCCACTTCACTCTCTCTCTCCTGCTCCCCTAGGGTAAGGCATGCTTGCTTCCCCTTCACCTGCTGCTATGAATTTAAGTTTCCTGAGGCCTCATAGTCATGCTTCCTGTTAAGCCTGCAGAACTATGAGTCCACTCAACCTCTTTTCTTTTCTTCATAAATTACCAAGTCTCAGGTAGTTCTTTATAGCAGTGTGAGAATGGACTAATATAGCTGTATTAAATGCATTTACACTAATAATGGTTTTAAGCAACAATGGGTTTATCAGGATGTAATCCAATGCCAAGTTGAGGAACATCTGTTATTTAAAACAGCTGTTCAAACAACACTTGTACAGGAGCATTCATGGCAGCACTTTTCATACTATCTACTCAGTAATGTAGGGGATCAAATGCCACGTCAAAATATGCCACTTTGGCATATTGATTATTTTGAGTTTAAAGGCACTTGAAACATACCAGATGCAAGAAGGGCATGCTGACCTTCCTTTTTTTTTATGAAAGGAAGAGACGAAACTCTCATGTGATAGGTATTATCTGTATACCAGGAGGAAGAAACACATTCTTATTGCCAGAGATGGAGAGTCCAGGTTTGAGGGAAAGCTGCACCAAAAAACCTTCTTAGTGACTTTACCACAACTAACTCTTTAAGCCCAAACCCCATTGTCTTGTTACGTTTTCACAATTTACCACATTTTTCCCAATCTAGTATGTAAGTATTCAGGTGTAATTGCTCATTTGAGTGTTCATATATGTTCTGAGGGCTCCCATGTACATGTAAAAAATACCAAATAAAATTTTGTATATGCTTTTCTTTTGTTAATGTCTTATTTAAGTCCTAGCTGGAGACTCTAAGAGGATAGAGGACGTTTAGATCCCCTGTCGTGGAAATCAGTTAATGAACTGTTAAACAACTGATGAGTGGATAAACAAAATGTGGCCTATCTTTACAACGGAATATTATTCAGTCATTCAAAGGCAGGAAGAACTGATTCACGCCTCTACATGGATGAACCCTGATGAAAACATTACGCTAAGTGAAAGCGGCCAGACACACAAGGCCTCCCATTTGGTTGTATGATTCCATCTACAGGAAATCTCCAAAACAGGCAAACCTCTATGGACAGAAAGCAGATTGGTTAGTGGTTGCAAGGGGACTATCGGGAACGTGTGTATGTGGCGGGGGCGGCGGTAGCGGACGTGTGGAAGGAGGCGTGTGGTGAGTGACCGCTTACAGGTACAGGGGTTTCGGTTACTCTTCTGGGTGTTGAAACTGTTTTGGAACCAGGTGGTTGCGACGGGTCTGCAACATTGTGAAGGAGCCGTACCCAGCATCCTCCCCTGGGCCGTCCCTTTGTCTTTCTCCCAACCAGTAGAAAGGGAGAGTTCCCCCACTGGCGCAGAGAGGGTCACCAGCGGGATGCCCCCTCCCCGCCCCACTCCGCACCCACCCCGGGCCTCCAGCCGCTTCCAGGCCCGGGCCTGCTCCCTCGGGGCCAATGGGAAGGCTGTGAGGTCACCTGATGGGCGTGCCCTCCAGCCTCTTCCAGGCCCAGGCCTGCTCCCTCGGGGCCAATGGAAGGAGTGACGTCACCTGATGGGCGTGTCCCTGGTGAGGCCGTGGCCACGTGGGAGCGAGGCCGTCACCATGTGGTGACGTGGTGGCACGAGGATGTGCGTGCCCATGGGACTGGGCTCCCCAGCCAATGAGGGGCTGGGGCCCTGGTCGCTAGATACACGGTACTGGACGCGATAACGGTCATCTTGAGAGGCATCTTGTCGTGCTAGAGCAAGCCGAGCCGAGATAGGGCACCCAACACCCAGCATGTTGGGGAGGAGGAGCCGTCGAGGGTCCTCTGGTGCTGGCGGCCGGGGGCATACCCTCTCTCGCACCGCCCGAGGGGAGCTTTTGTTTTCTGTGAGCGAGGTGGAGCGTAGTCTACAGGAAGGCCAGTGCGCCCAGCGCCTGAGTCCCTCTGCGCCAGTCTTCCTCGCTGCCGTGATTCAGTACCTGACGGCCCAGATCCTGGAGCTGGCGGGCAAGGAGGCCCACAACAACGGAGAGAGGACCATCACTCCACAGCCGCTGGACATGGCGGTTCACGACAACGCGCTGCTGAGCACCCTCTTTGACACAACAACCGTCTCTCAAGTGGTTCCCGGCCGGGACTAGCTGCTGACGACGCACGACTTCTGGGACCTGGCAGGTCCACTCGTCCACCCACCCAGCCCCAAATCCCCCAGCCCCCAAACCACCCCCTGTTTCCACCGGCCCCGAGGTCTCTTGGGCCTTCATTCATTAATTCTGTCAGTAAAGTGTTTAATGGATCCCACCTGCCTGTTTCAGTCACTTTGCCTTGGGGGAGGGAGGGGGGTGTGGGATGAGGGGACGTGCGATGGGGTGGGGCGTTAAGAGACCTCCATAGCTGGAGGGATGGACAGGTGGGGCTCTGGGGTTGGCTGGGAGTCAGGGATGGCACAGAGGAGCAGTGTCTCCCGGTGACAGTGCAGGGGGTGGGGTGGGGGTGGGGGGGGTGGATGGCCCTGGGTGGGAAGAGGGCAGCCCGGCTGGTTCTGAGCAAGTCAGGAGGGCCTTCCCGGCAAAGTCCTCAGCACAATGGTGTTCATTGGGGCGGGTGGACCTCAAGACCGTGACTGCCGTGTTGCGACAGGACGGACTTCCACAGGCAACCAGGGTGCGGACGACGAGGTGGACCCGGCGGCTGGCATGGGGCCCTGGACGGGAAGATGAAGGAGTGAGTGGTGGTTGGGCGGGGAACAGTCCAGAAATGCACAGCCACGGAATGAGGGTCACGAGTTTAGTCTGGGTCGTGTTCAGATGGAGAGGCTCCGGGACGCCTGTAGCAAAGGACACCACTTGCGTTGCAGCCAAGCTAGCAGCAGCTGGCACCCGGCCAGGCCCCGCGAGCCTTTCCCGGGTCTTGGACCCGCGTCCCCGAGCCCCTCGATTTGCATACGCCGCTGCAGCCCGGCCAGGCCCCGCCTCCGATTCCGATTCCGATTCCGTTCTTTGCAGATCACCGAGGCAAGGGGCAGGCTCGGGCTGGGGAGCCAGCCTGCGCGCGCACGCCGGCAGGCAGCCAGCCAAGGGGGACGCGGGGCACGTCGCACCGCCACGCCCGCCAGCGGCCGGACGTGCTTGGGGCGGCGACCATGGCGGCGGCGGCGGCGGCCGGCCTGGGGGGTGGCGGCGGCGCCGGCGCCGGCCCCGGGCCCGAGGCCGGGGACTTCCTGGCCCGCTACCGGCTTGTATCGAACAAGCTGAAGAAGCGGTTCCTGCGGAAGCCGAACGTGGCGGAGGCCGGCGAGCAGTTCGGACAGCTGGGCCGTGAGCTGCGCGCCCAGGAGTGTCTGCCGTACGCGGCCTGGTGCCAGCTGGCGGTGGCGCGCTGCCAGCAGGCGCTCTTCCACGGGCCCGGGGAGGCGCTGGCCCTCACCGAGGCCGCCCGCCTCTTCCTGCGGCAGGAGCGCGACGCGCGCCAGCGCCTGGTCTGCCCCGCCGCCTACGGGGAGCCGCTGCAGGCCGCCGCCAGCGCCCTGGGCGCCGCAGTGCGCCTGCACCTCGAGCTGGGCCAGCCGGCCGCCGCCGCCGCCCTGTGCCTCGAGCTGGCCGCCGCCCTGCGCGACCTGGGCCAGCCGGCCGCCGCCGCCGGTCACTTCCAGCGCGCCGCCCAGCTCCAGCTGCCCCAGCTGCCCCTGGCCGCGATGCAGGCGCTCGGCGAGGCGGCCTCCTGCCAGCTGCTGGCGCGCGATTACACCGGCGCCCTGGCGCTCTTCACGCGCATGCAGCGCCTGGCGCGGGAGCACGGCAGCCACCCGGTGCAGCCGCTGCCGCCGCCGCCGCCCCCGCCGGCGGGGCCGCAGTCCGGGCCCGGGGCGACGCCCGCCCTACCGGCGGCGCTGCTTGCTCCGAACGCCGGCTCCGCGGCGCCCTCTCCCGCCGCCCTGGGCGCCTTCTCGGACCTGCTGGTCCGCTGCGAGGTGTCCCGCGTTCTGCTGCTGCTCCTCCTGCAACCACCGCCCGCCAAGCTGCTGCCGGAGCACGCCCAGACCCTGGAGAAGTACTCCTGGGAGGCTTTTGACAGCCACGGGCAGGAGAGCAGCGGCCAGCTTCCCGAGGAGCTCTTTCTGCTGCTCCAGTCTTTGGTCATGGCTACCCACGAAAAGGACACGGAAGCCATCAAGTCGCTGCAGGTGGAGATGTGGCCGCTGTTGACTGCTGAGCAGAACCACCTCCTTCACCTCGTTCTGCAAGAAACCATCTTCCCCTCAGGACAGGGGATCTGACCCACCCCGTTCACCCGATGGCTTTTTGCCCGGCCGGGGAGGGGATTCCCATCAATCCCGTTAACCAGATGACTTTCTGCCTGTTACCAAACCTCACGCATCCACGTTTGCATCTGGGGAGACGTAAAAAGACATACCGTCCCGGCCTCTGCGTTTTATGTTATTCCTGTTGCCGCCACAGGAATCACCCCGTTGACTGAACGCTGCCGGCATCCCCAACGCCTGTTTCCGTAGCAGAGGGAGAGCAACGCATTTTCATGGAACCGGGTGGAGGACATGGCTCTCTTCCAAAAAGCCACGACACGAAAATGACAGTCCCTTTCGTCTCCTTCCTCCGCTTCTCCCACCCAACGCAGCCTCCTGCCTCCACCTTTGTTTCATAGTGAGGATTTCATTTTGCGGCGGCTCCCTCCCTCTAAACACCCGCCCTAGGCAGGATTTCATCCTGCCCCTCGTTTCTTAACGTATTTCTGTGTCTTTGTAATGGCCAAATTTCTCCTGCCACACGTCCTCACAGTACGTCTTCATGGGAGTCATTTTATTCCTTCCAGCTTCCTTGTAACCACAGCCCTGAATCCATGATAAAGCCGCTCTTGTACCCCTCATGTGTGGTTTTGGTGTCCCTCGTCTGTAAAATGTGACTCCGTTATCCACTTGTCAGGAGGCCAGGATTAGAACCAGATAGTCCTCTTTGGGCTCCAGCGTGTATTAGTTCCTTTGAAATTTGAGCTATGCCTCCTATGTGGGCCATGCCTTAGAGCAAGGAACCTGCAGAGGTCATCTGTGATGTGCTCCTTACTCAGACGACTGCGATGCAAATGTGTCCAGTGCAGTGCGTCTGGTGCCGATGCATCGATTTGCATTGGAATTCATGGTTCCGGTTCTGTTCTATTCCCAGAGGTATATGCAGTCTGCATCACAACTTTTATTTGTAATAGGGAGTTTTTGGGGGGGAGGGGGAGGTAATGGGGGGTGCAGAAGGAGTCTCACTCTGTTTCCCAGGCTGTAGTGCAGTAGTACGATCTTGGATCACTACAGCCTCCGCCTCCTGGGTTCAAGCGATTCTCCTACCTCAGCCTCCCAAGTACCTGGGATTACAGGGGCACCCCACCATGCCGGGCTAATTTTTGTGTTTTTAGTAGAGATGGGGTCTCACCATGCTGGTCTCTCCAACTCCTGACCTCAAATGATCCACCCACCTCGACCTCCCAAAGTGCTGGGATTACAGGCTTGAGTCACCGCCCAGCCTGTAATAGGGATTTTGCTGCAACTTTTAGTTAAGTGGCGAAATCAGAGAGCGTGGCTCTTTGGTGTTGTGCGGTCACTGAATGCAAGGCAGCCTCCTTGTTCCCCAAAAGCAGGATGGCGTTCCATTCGAAAACAGTTACGTTTCCCAGGCTTTCTGGCTCAAACAGAGCATGCAACCCAACTAAGCTGTTTTCGCACTTATTGCGTCATTTTTACCCTTTTGAGGGTGACACAAGAACTCTTCAGAATATAGGCTCTTTCTCAAACTTTCAACCCTGGGGAAATGCATCCTTTAAGCCAAAGTTGCACACAATACTGATCTGCAGGGCTGAGATGTAAGGCCACAGTTTGGAGGAGATGGTTTTGTTTTAGTCTTCTTGCAGGGGAGAGGTGTGGAGGGTTGTCACTGTGAGTTAAGTGCCTCAAAACGGGTGGGACTTGTAGGGTGTTCTTTCCTGCTTCTATTTCCACCACCATTCCTCTCACTCTCACTTGGCTGCCAGGGAGGGTCCAACAGAGCCCTTAAACGCCTAGCCCAAATTATGGTAAAAGCGGTTGAAGGGCTCATACTCCTTTGCTCTTCCGCTTCTTCCTGATATGCTCCTCTTAACCCGGGCTGCAGACCTGGCCGACTGGCTTATTTTCAGGTTTGGGAGTTACGGAGCGTGACTGCTAACCAATTTTGGATTTGGGCTTCAGGAGAAGCCTTCTTAGGCCTCTGGTTCAAACTCCTTGCATCAGGGAGGTGAGGGGAAGAATAACCAGACAGTTAGGTACTGGGTATCTGAGCATAATTCTAGGAAACACTAAAACTCCTCATTTTCCATTTGCCATGGGCTCATTCATATATCTCCCTCAGAAACTTGAGAGCAGGGATAGCTTGCCCGAGGCCAGATTTCAGCATTTTGGAGAATTCTCTTGTAATGTATCACTTTAATATCAAAAGCCAACACTGATTTCTAGCATGGCAAAAGGAAATATTTTCAGAGAACATGATTAGTTTGCTTTTTAACTAGAAAACCGGTTGCGGGGGCGGGGGAAGATCCTTGTCATGTAAATGTCGGTCGACAATTCCAAGTTCACATTTAAAACAGTGTAAACCATCGGGAATGTTGGCAGTGAAGCAGTGACCCTTTAAGGGTGTTGGGGCTCCCCTTCTCCCCATTATGAGGTAATCCTAAAAGGGGAAATGTTGCTTATCAAAGAATATTTTATACGTGAATGGCACAAAGACATACAGACGTGTGAGAACCACTACACCAGAGGAAGGTGATCAAGACTGAAATACAGTATTAGGCAAGATTGCACCACTGCACTGCAGCCTGGGCAACAGAGTGAGACTCTGTCTCAAAAAAAAAAAAAAAGTTCAACTATCTTGAAACATGCTTTAAGGAAGCCCAGGCCTCAAGGAGAATCTATGTAAAGTTACATCAGTCAACAACCCCAGATTCTGTCCTAGCTGCCAGTACCAATCATCAGAAAAGTAAGAGAAGGAACTTCCAGATGATTCTAGCACCCAGCTGTTACATATTCCTAACTGAGGCTCCAGATTTTGTGGAGCAGAAACCACCCATCCCCTCCTGTGTCCCAAAGTCTTGTTCTATAGAATCTGTGAACAAAGCATAATGGTTATTTTTATGACACTAAGTTTTGAAGTGGCTTGGTACACAGCAATAGTAACTAGTACAGGTAGAGAAAGCCACTTTGAGGGAAGCAGTGACCTGAAGTGGGGAGATACAGTGAACTCTTCTACAAGGAGGAATTCAGAAGAATAAATATGCCAATATTTTGCCAGTGCTCCCTGTTGGTAAAATCCAACCAAAAGCTGGAGGACAAGGTAGCCTGTTGATGTATTCTATACAAGGTCACCTCACAGAACAAGAAGCAGGGTAGAGAAGCAGGAAAATAGATCTAAAGGGGCAAACAAAAGTTATCTTGCTTGGGGCCATTTGACTTTGAACTTTATTATGAAGATGATAGGAAGACATTGAAAGGTTTTAGGCAGGGGACTGATGATTATCGTGAAAATGATGTGCAGCTTTTATTAGAGAACAGATTAGAAACAGGGGAAGACTAGTTAGGAATGTAATACAATAGATGAAGCATGTGGTGATGGGACCCCAGGCTGTGGCAACAGTGGTATAAATGGAAACAGAAGAAAGAGATGTGAGAGGCATTACAAATAAAGGATTGACCAGATTTGTGGATCCATTCATCAGGGGATATAAAAATGAGGGAAGAGTAGACAATAACGCTAAGGTTTTAAGCCTTTAGGGATCTTGAGTTTACCTCTAGAGAATTTATCAATTCCCAAAGTTTCACCCATCGTTTTATGTGGAAGTCATGAATCTTCATCTCCATCCATGGCTTTGCCCCCTAAATTTGTCTTTTGCCTACGGCCTGCTGGACATTTCAACCTGATTGTCCTACTATAATCACAAACGTAGGATATCCATAAGCAAACTCACAATCATCAGTTCACACAGTCCTGAATCACATATTTCTGCCAATGCAGCATCTCTTCATTTCTATCATCTATGAGCCTTGACAGAACTACATTTTTGTTGATATGTCCATAATAACTCCTATTGGTCACAAGTGAAAAATTAGTTTTTGGAGTTAAGTTTGTAGAAGAGTATTTGTCCAATATCTGAAATCTGTCAAAATTCTTTGAAGTATTCAGACATTCTCTTTAAAGGACTAATTACATACCATTAAGGTTCCAGTGGAATTTCCTCGATAAGTCTGCCACTTCTTCCCATCAAGACTATACATGATGATAAACTGAGAGATGTAGAGGCTGGAGAACTTCTGACGGGCACCCTGGGTCTTGATGCCGTGAATAATCGTTGGTGCCAATAGATCCACCTACCAATTAGAGCAACACTTTATTTTAACCTTTTTTTTTTTGAGACGGAGTCTCACTCTGTTGCCCAGGCTGCAGTGCAGTGGTGCAATCTCGGCTCACTGCAACCACTGCCTCCCAGGTTCAAGCAATTATCCCGCTTCAGCCTCCCAAGTAGCTGGGATTACAGGTGTGCTCCACCACGCCCAGCTAATTTTTGTATTTTCAGTAGAGATGGGATTTCATCATGTTGGCCAGGATGGTCTCGATCTGTTGACCTGGAGATCTGCCTGCCTCGGCCTCCCAAAGTGCTGTGATTACAGGTGTCAGCTACTGTGCCTGGCCTATTTTAACCTATTTTTAAATGTATATACTACCTCCTGAAACTAATTATTGGCTTAGAAAGAATCTACATTGCTACAGATGTGTCCATCATTACCTTAGATGTGCAAGTGAAGCAGTCACCAATGTTAAAATGTGCATGTGTGTGTGAAGCTGTGGGATAAACAGTAGAAATGAATAGGAAGATGCTTATTGAGTTCCCAGCCTGCTTCTTGACAAACCCCATCATTAAGCCCCCATTTCCTACACGCACACGCACACATTCTCTGTCTCTGTCTCTGTCTTGTGGACTCACATAAGCTAATGCTTTGCCTACACCTCAGCCTCAGACCAAAGCCAATTTCCTCCTCTCTCCCCAAACCAGACCCAAACATCACTGTCAGTGATGAACTGCTACACTTCCTTTGAGTGTTAGTTCAGAAACTATTTTCTCCTGGTGCTTCTATGCTTCTACTTCACTTTATATATAATTTCCTTATAGCAAATTTTGCACCATATTATAAGTTTGCTTTGCTTTTCTGCTTTCCTTATTAGACTTAGATACTTAAGGCAGTGAACTCATTTGAGTGACCTAAACTTTCTGTGTCTCAATTTATCTGTAAAGTGAAGATAATACCAGTTTTTATCTCAAAGGGTTGCCATTGGGTTAAAGAGCACATGTAACGTGCTAAGTTCAGTGCCTGGCGCATACAAAATACTCAGTCAATATTAGCTTTTTAATATTCTCTCTAGTCCCAGCAGCTAAAATGGTATCTGGTATAATACTGCTGTATAGCAAATGCTTTGGAATGAATGAGTGAATAATGGAACAGTAGTACAGAATGGACACTTCTTAAAGAAGCGGTCATGGACTGCAAGAATATTAGAAGTATCAGTTACTATTCTAACGAGCAAGTCAAATTTAGCAGGTTTTCACAGATGTCTGACACATACAAATTGGACTGGTCATGACTCTTGTGTTTAATAACTGTCTCCTTTAGCTGACTGTAAGTTCCATTCATACACTTGTTCAAAGAAGTTTTTTTAGCACTTGCTATGTGCTAACGACTGTTTTAGGTACAGGGAATAGAGTAATAAACAAGAAACAAAGCCCTGCCCTCATGGAACTTACGGTCGAGTAGGGATAATAGACCTTATATCACAGGAGAAAAATGAAGCAGGGTAACAGGGCAGAGAGTGTCAAGGTCTTTTCCCAGATTAGATGGTATTCCCCATTGAAGACACTTCATTTTACCTCTTTGTATTGTGGCATAAAAAACTGAAAGAACCAGGCACAAAAATCATGATTTTTACTGAATTGACTTGCACCATTTCTTCATATGGTTAGAGTGTAAGAGTTCTGTCTTGGACCAGTGACTATTGTATCTTCCAGCAGCCTTGCTAGAATAAAGCTGCAATAGAACAAGGCTACAATAAAGCCTTGGCAACCTACTTACATTGTGCAACTGATGCTTGCCAAACTGCCAGGCTTATCTGCTTCATCTTCTTGTGCCTCTTCTACATTGTAATTGGCACCTGGGAGCAGTTTGGCAATTATACTCAATAACGTCACCTATGTACCCAGCCAGGTGTTTCAGTGTAACTACAAGACACGTCTGTCTATTAGGAAGTAAGCAAGATGGTAATAAGTTTCGTTGTATAAAAGTACAAACATTGCAGCTGCATGTCTCCAAGGGGCCTGCTGATTTCCCGATATGCATTGCCTGATCTTGGCCACCTGGTGCTCCTCAAGTCAGCCCAGTGCTCTTGTGCATTGAGGCCAGGTTGCTGTGCGCTCTTCAGGCCTTCTCACAAGAACAAATACCTTCTCCAACTCCCTTCCTTGTCAGCATCCCTTTCAACTCTATCTCCATGTTTTATTTTATAAAGTTATGAGATCTACAAAAAGTTTAGCTGGATCTTAGTAGGACAGTTGACAAAAACCGCCTTGAAGATAAGGTGATTTAGTACTGGTAGATGATAACATAATTAGGTGGATTTGTAACTGGTTTAATTACCATAAGTAAATCGTGATAGTTAATAGATGGTTATCAACTTGAAGGGAGCATTCTGGAAACAGTGTAGTAAAATGATTACCAATTAGGGCTCTGGAGCCCAACTATCAGAATTTGAATTTTGGCTCAGTCACTTATTAGCGGTGTGACTTGGGCCACAATAACTTCTCTATGCTTCAATTTCATCTGAAATGAGGACAATAGTAACATCTACATCACAAGGTTGTGACAAGGACTTAACAGCTTGATTTGTATTGTGCACATACTAAGGAAGTCTTGTCTACTTCAATATTTTGATTATGACTTTGCTGTAGTATTACAAAGTTTACTGATTAAATCAGTAGCTGGAAAAACTAGGAAATACATTGAGATACTGAAGATTGGCAAGCTGAAACAATGGGTCAAATCTAGTAAGTGGAAACAGCAGGGTGTATCCTTCAGGGTTCATTGGCTGGTCACAGGGCACTCTATTTACTAGTCTTATCAGATTGTATCTTGTAAGGGAGATATAATTCCCCCTCACAAATAAGAATGTTATTACAAAAAATTAAGCAGAACAGACAGAGGGCAGCCAAATAGATAAACATGTCCTCTACATAGGGACACATTTAAGGTTGAAAATAACCACAGAAATACAAGGTGAAGAGCATCACATGTGGTTTGGCAGAAGCATAAACTAACAAAAAATACTTAGGGATTAGTGAAATGCAGCTCGGACTGACTCAAAATTGGCAGTGTCTGTAAGACATCTAGCCTTATGTTTAGACAGAGAGGCTGAGTAGGCACTTCCAAGCTGCCCTCAGCTTTTGTGAGGCATGGAGGACACCGTGAAGTTTCCATCTGTCTGCCCTTGAAGGGATCTGATTGATCATATGTTGAAATGATAGTATTTTCAGATATGTTGAGTTAAATAAAATGTATTATTAAAGTGAATGTCACATTTTTGAAAACTTGGCTACTAGAAAATGTAAAATTACACATGTGGTTTGCATTTGTGAACCATTTGTTTTATGTTAAAATAAAGGGGATTGGAGTACTTAAGGACACCTGGGCAGTTGGACGCATCTAATAATAACATATATTGTCTTGAGAGATGATGAGTTCAATACTATAGAAAATATTTAGATGTCTAATCCCAGTAGAAGGACTAAAATACAGAAATAGGACATATCAGTATACTCAGTTCTATTCCCGTATCTCTTGTTCATGACTGCTTTTGTATAAATCATAAGCCATTCTGTTCTTCAGTTTTCTCATATTCATAGAATTCTTTTAGTTTACAAGAGGAATAAGTAAGGCGATTGATTGAATGTGATACATTGTCCATCACTGGTTCAATTTTCTAACCTTGATCCAAGAAAAGGGCTCCTTGGTGCTCCAGGCATTGATTGATCCGGAATAATGAAGTCTAGCCAGGTTTGGGGCCCACTGTCCTTTGCCCAAGTAAAGAAACAGAGATGAAATTCAGCTGGGTTGGTCCTAGACACTCGAGAGTAAAATTGTCTTGAGAAAGGTTAATCTTAGCTGTGGTGAAAGTAAAAACATAAAGGCTTTATGGCAAACCAGTAACAATTATTATCTAAGGATTTTGCTTATCTTTGTCGTTCATTTTATTTTCTAAAATTTATAATTTTGTTAATTGTTAGCAACTCTAATTAGCTGATACTGCAATTTGTTACCAAAACTACCAAATAATAATATTATTTCTTTTGTTTTCTTTTTTCTTTTTTTTTAAGATGTCGCCCAGACTGGAGTGCAATGGCGTGATCTTGGCTCACTGCAACCTCCGTCTCCTGAGTTCAAGCAATTCTCCTGCCTCAGCCTCCCAGGTAGCTGTGACTACAGTCACACGCCACCATACCCAGCTAATTTTTGTATTTTAGTAGAGAGGGGTTTTCACCATGTTGGCCAGGCTGGTCTTGAGCTCCTGACCTCAGGTGATCTGCCTGCCGTGGCCTCCCAAAGTGCTGGGTTTACAGGCGTGAGCCACCGTGCCTGGCCTATTATTTGTTTATTATACAATGTAGGTTCATTGTAGAAAAATCAGAAAATGAAAAGTAAAAATAAAAATTAGTAAAAAGACAAATAGAAATTTTAAAATGTAACCCTTCCACCTAGTGAAAAATGTTAGTGTTTTGGTATATAACTCTGAAGCCTCTTTTTCAAGGTTGGCAAAGTTTTTCTGTGAAGGGCCGGATAGCAAATCATTTGGGCTTTGCATGTTATATGGTCTCTGTTGCAACTATGTTACTGCTGTTGTAGCCATAGATGATCTGTAAATTAATGGATGTGGCTGTGTTCCAACATCAGACTTTATCATGGAGGCTGAAATTAGAATTTTATAATTTCACACGTCATGAAATATTCTTCGTAATTTTTTCAATCATTTAAAAATGGAAAAAACAGGCAGTGTGTTACATTTAGCTTGTGGGCAGTAGTGCTCTAAAACAATTTTTGAGAACTCTCTATAGACCCTAGTCAAACTTTACCTTTAGTGCTCATAGGAAACTATAGCTTCCTGCTACAATGAAGAGGATTGACTCAAGGAAGAAATACTCAAGCTAGGGAGGCTATTTTAGGAGGCAGTGTCACTGAATTAAGATGGCTACACCAGTGGGAAGTGGAGAGGAGGGGATATATTTGAGAGGCACTTATGGAATAGAACTAATAGAAGCATGGAGAAGGATTCATGATCTGAGATTCTCCAACAGATCATTTAAAAAGATATAATCGGCCCAGGTTCTTGGGGCAAAAATTTATAGTATTTACCATATTGTCCTGAAGCTGTAATTTGAAAATCTCTAATGCGTCCAGAAGCCATTCCCAAGGGAGTCTGACACTCTGAAATGAAACAGGTGGAACACAGTAACTAGAAGTGCACAAAATTCAGCTTCTCAAATGTAAGTCAGTGAAAATGGGAGAATGTCAATATGCTAATATTTTTGAGTGTTTATATGTGCCAAGAATTTTACTAAATGTCTTACTGTATCAGTTAATTTAATTCATCCTAACAGGTGCTACAATGATTCACATTTTACAGCTGAAGAAACTGGGGTCCTACATAAATAGACCAGTGGTTCTCTTATTTGTTTAGTGTTTAAATCTCCAAACTCTTCCAAGTAATATTTATAAGTTATCTGGTAACTAAATCAACATTAAATTCCAAAATCTGCTACTGGAGATCTTAGAGCTTTACCAAGTTGTGAAAATGAGGGATTTTTTTGGGTCAATTATTTAGAGGTTCAGGTTCCAAGTTTTCAAAGTTTCAAGTATATCTGCCCTCCTCTGACAATGCTGATGATTTCTACCAGCAATATTAATTTAAAATTTGATAAGGATGTAAGCTTGTATTTATTTCCGGACACAAGCAACCATTCCAGAAAGGAGGCAAGCTGTAAAGAAGTAGGCTGAATAGGTAGGGAACCTCTGACCACATTGCTACTCACTGCTGCTGTACACCAGAAAAAGTGTGCTCATCCCAGCATGTAGGTGCTCGCCAATAAGGCATTCTACCCGCCAAATTCCAGCTTTGGATGGTAACATTTCCACTGTCTCAAAAACACCTTATAAAACCAAAAGAAAAAAAATTATTTCTTTTCACTTAAAAATGAGCATGAAATACATTGGTTTATGTGAAATATCAGAGTAGACCTACCAAATTTTGTACTTCCACTACTCTTGGACCCCTCAAACCCAAAGTGCTTGCCACGTGACCCCTACAGTTCGGGGTCATGGAGATTGAGTTCTGACCACTCCCTTCCCCACCAGGAAATGAGAAACAGCGTGACTGAATTGTTTGATGGTGGGGACAGGAGAATGCTACCGCATTATGGTTGACCTACACTCCCAGGGATTTTCTGAGCAAAAGGTGTGTTTCCCATTGGCCAGATGTAGACTCTGAAAGAGATAAGTCATGGTGAGTTCCTACTGGGTTCAGTCCACTAGGGCTTCCTAGAAGGGTAAAGTTACCATAGCAACAAGAAGCTACAGGTGAACACTGACGACTGAGAAATGAGTCACAAGTGACCACCCAGAATAAAGGTGGATTAAACCAGGACAAGGGGATTTCATGACAGAGTCACATACGGGAGTCTCTAAAGAGCCCTGTGAAAGTGTCCTGCAGGAGAAAGAGTCAACTTTAAGTATTGCCAGGCACGAACAGTGTAAAGCTGGTTTACAACAATGGTGCCAGCTGTAAATAGGTAAGAACTGTCCTAACCCCTTATCTTTAACCTATTCATGCTGGAGTGCAAGGGGTTGTGGGGAAGCACGACCAGCACAAGGTACAGAAAGAGGACTCAACCATGTCTCCCTTTCCCAGTGCAGACTTCCAGCCTGATGCAGGCTCAAGTTGAAGGACTGGAGATTGAAGTTAAATCGACATTGTAATTTCTGATTTGAACTGTATTTGTGACATAAAGTGACTTTAGTCCTGTTTATTACTTAACAGTGAGCAGAAAAGTTACAGGGCTTGTCAGAATTTTTACAAAGCAATAGGGGAAGTTTACTCGCACTATTAAACCGGAGTTTTTTTTTAGAGACAGGGTCTTGCTCTGTTGTCCAATCACATAGTTCACTGCAGCCTCAACCTCCTGGGCTCAAGCAATCCTTCCACCTCAGCCACCCAAGTAACTGAAGTAGCTGGGACTACAGGTATACACCACATGCCTGGCTAATTACTTTATTTTTTGTACAGACGGGGGTCTTGCTTTGTCACCCAGGCTGGTCTTGAACTCCTGGCCTCAAGCGACCCTCCTACCTTGGGCTCCCAAAGTGCTGGGGTTACAGGTGTGAGCCACTGCACCTGGCCAAGCCTATTTTAAAAGGGCAGTGGAGAACCAAATAACATTGTATTGTGATCAACATTATGAGTAGTGTTTAATCAATATACTGGTTACATACATAAACAAATCACTGTTTGGATGACTACTTGTGCCTTATGGGATTTCAGGTGGTAAGTGATGAAGGAATAAATTCCTTTTCCGTAAGAAAGTAAAGTGACATTAATTATCCATTTATTCTGTTCTATTTCCTTTTTAGCAATTTTTCTATATCTGAACTTATCTTATTAATTTGCTAATTTATTTATTTATTATTATTATTTTGAGACAGAGTCTTACTCTGTCGCCAGGTTGGAGTGCAGTGGTGTGATCTCGGCTCTCTGTAACCTCCACCTCCCTAGTTCAAGCGATTCTCCTGCCTCAGCTTCCCTAGTTGCTGGGACTATAGGTGTGCGCCACCATGCCAGGCTAATTTTTTGTATTTTAGTAGAGTCGGGGTTTCACCATGTTGGCCAGGATGGTCTCGATCTCTTGACCTCGTGATCCACGCACCTCAGCCTCCCAAAGTGCTAGGATTGCAGGCATGAGCCACCACTCCTAGCCCTCATTTGCTAATTTATTTATGTCCCTGTAGGTTTGAAAAAGTGTTACCTGAGAGCATGGAGCTTGTCTGCTTTGTTCACTAATTGTGTTCCCAGTGCCTAGACCATTTAAAATAAATACTCAACAAATAAAGTAGGTAGAAGAAAGAGCACAAATGGGCTCATACCTGGATAGAGATTGTACACTGCCATTTTATATTCCTCTTTTTTCCGTACAGTGAACACATGTCCACTGAAATGAATAGAATGAATGTTTTCATTGCTGCCCATGCTGAGTAGATACCATCGAATCCTTTGATCCTGAGCCATTACTAACCCGGGTAGTGTATCCATTATGTAGCCATTGATTGCTGGAGAAGGACACAGAGAAGCCTGTTAAAATCTATTTTAGAAGTTTGTTTCCCTCCACTCCACCAAAAATACTGACATCTCTTGAGAATTCCACTCCCACAGTTATACTCTAAATGAATACAATGCTCAAGTCCCCGGATCAAATCTCGTTAGTCAAAGTGCAATCTGCATTTTGCAGTGATCATGTCTGGATGTGGAGTATATTACCATGGAAGCGATAATTCTCTTTAAAAGTGGGATCTTCCATCTGGACATTGCAGGGAGGCCTGCAGTTTCTTTCCATGTTTTCAGTGAAGTACCAGCTTTTGGTCTCATCAAAGATAGTGAAAAACAGAGCAAATTCTTGTACTGTCACTTGTCTCCCATGAGCAGGGTTCAGTGTGTTAGTGTGGCAGACCAGAAGGGGTCCAATCAGGCCTGAATGCACATCTTTTTCCTAGGGAGGGAAGACATCAATCCTATGAGTATAAGCTCTCTCACATATGAACCAGAGTGGATTTCTCATGAATTTTTATGCCACTCCAGCCTGCCTCCCATTTTCCAAAAATACAATTAATCATCTTCAGTAGATTCCAGAATGACCTTTCTAAAACACAAATATGATGATCAACTGTGCTATTTAAAGCTTCTCATTGCATGTAGGATAAATACCAAAATTCTTAGCACACAAAGACCATTTATTTTAAACCAAAAAGTGGTCAACACAATGGATACCTGCTTACCAGATCAACATCAGAGAAATAAGCCCAGGCTTTGCAGTCAAACTCATCTTTAGTGGGTGCCATATGATGCTGCACTTTCCAAAAGTACGTTTTGGTCTCATTAGGCTTGACAAAGGTTTGTCTAGGTTCTGCTCCTTGCCTCTGATCTTCTTCATAAGAAATAAGGCTAGAATAGAAGGAATAGGGACGAGAGGCCTGATTTTTGAAAGTTACCTGCAGAACAATAACAACAACAAAAAAGCAAGAATGATCTTCTAGGATCTTAAAGTCCTTAGGGTTTACATCTCTAAAAGAAACACCTATCTTTTGGTCTTTATTGAAGTTTTTAATACCCTGGAAGAAGTGGTACAGAGGATGGATGCTGTTAGAACCCAAACTTATTCCTGAGGAGGTTTTCAATTCTAAATTTAAGGCATAAACTCAAAGTTGCAAAGGAGAAAATTCCTATACACTTAAAAGCAATTCCAAACTAAAAGGGAAAATGTTACTGCAGGGGTTTTAAGAGACTATAATGCCAGGAGTTGATATGTAAGTGAAGGTTCTTCATGACAGATTCTACAATGAATGCATATTATCTTTTTTAAAAAGGCTTATTTTCCAGATTAAAAATTATACATATTTATCATAGAATATATGGAAAGTAAAATAAGGCAGAAATTGCCCACAATTTCATAATTTTAGATCCTTCTGTATCATTAATATAAACAATCAATTAATTGAAGCAATGAATAGCTATTTTCAGAAAAACATAAAACTAACTACTTTGATCTTTGGTTCACACAGGAAGTATTAAAAAGTTAAATGTAAAAAATTAAACTGTAACAGAAAGTTGAAGAAAGTATAAGTGTTTTTTAAAAAAATCTCTGTATACGTAGAAATTTTTACAAACATAAAAGCAATGAAAGCGTTAAAAAGTAAAAATTAAAACCTGTTTTATTTCAAAAAATATCATTTATAAAATTAAGAGAAAACAAAAACTTGAAGAAGTACTTCTCATTAAAATGTTCAGTGGTTTCCTATCTAATCTATAAGTTGATATAATTATTATATTATATTAAAAGCACTTATTCCATGAAAGACAAATGTGCAAGGGACATTACCAGATAATAAGAAAAACTCTTACGATGCTCATATACATTGCACTTCTGGAATTTTATCTTAGAAAAACTGTTATGATTACAGCATTATTTATATGGTGAAAAAAAGAAACTGTCTAATAGGTTGTTCAAAATAAATGGTTACATAAACTACGCTTCCATAAGTTCATATAGTGGACTATTATGCAGTATTTAAAAAACATACATAGAAAGTGTTTCTAATGACCTAAGAAATGTTTTTGACGTGATATTTAGTCAAAAAACAAGTATCAGAATTCTGTATGGTATAATTTGAATACATAAAGAGAAAAATACATAGGAAAAATATAAGAACATACACAAAAATGATAATTATGGAATTATTTTTCTATAAACATTTCCAAAAGTGAGAATACATTATAGTCAGCAAGAAAATAAATAATATATAAGATTAATTTGCTTGGCCAGGTGCGGTGGCTAATGCCTGTAATCCCAGCACTTTGGGAGGCAGAGGCAGGTGCATCACCTGAGATTATGAGTTCGAGACCAGCCTGGCCAACACTGCGAAATCCCGTCTCTATTTTAAAAATACAAAAATTAGCTGGGTGTGGTGGCGTGCCCCTGTAACCCCAGCTACTCTTGAGGCTGAAACAGGAGAATCGCTTGAACTCAGGAGGCAGAGGTTGCAATGAGCCAAGATTGTGCCACTGCATTCCAGCCTGAGTGACAGAGCAAGAGTCGGTCAAAAAAAAAAAATAATGATTTTCTTGTAATTTCATTGTCCTTAACTCACCATGATATTATCTTCAACTTCTGCTCTTATATATGGCCCCAGGAGTCCCAAATGTTCATTTAGTTCTCCACGGTATAAGGGCTGAGTAAAGGATCCATCAGTAAATTCCTGGAAAACCACTTTTTTGAACTGAGGGACACTGCCACTCTGAGCCCTGGAGACAAAAAAAGCAGAGGAAAAGCAATAAATTTATGTACCAAGTGGTTAGAAATGCCTCACATCCTCAATTTCCTAGGTGCCTAAGAAGCATTTTGCATAGTTAACCACTTCATCCTCCTTCAAATACTCTTCCCAATCTTTATTAGTATGTAAGTTCCATGAAAGCTGGGGTTTTGTCTATTTTGTTCACTGTCGTATTCTCAGCACTTGTAACAGTGCTTGGCAAAAAGCAGGAGCTCAAAAAACATTTGTCAAGTGTTGAATGAATGTAGAATTTATAAACATACTCCAAATATAAGAGAGCAATCATCACCCAGATTAATAACACAAATGCTTTTGGTACAAAAATGTGTTAGGATTGCAATGTAATGTTTTGTCCGTATGGATATCAACATTTTCCAGCATCCTTTATTGAAGTCTTTTTAAAACCCTATTAAAATTGTGAGCCAAAACATATACAATAAAGTGCATAAAACACAAATGGCTTTGGTACAAAAATGCAGTCATCACCCAGAAGACTCGCTGGATGTCCCTTTTCAGTCATATTTTCTCCTTTCTCACTGAAGGTAACCACCATTCTGATGTTTATGATAATCGTTTCTTTGCTTTTCTTCATACTTTTACCAGTTATGTATATATCCTTAAAAATATAGTTTAGTTTTGCCTGTTTTTGAAGTGCGTAAATAAAATGTTCTGTATATATTATTTTGTTTCTTCTTTCACTTAGCATTTTGGTTGTGAGATTCATCTGTAGTGCTGTATATGGCTATACTTTCTTCATTCCCATTATTGTATAATATTATAAAAATATATCCCAATCATGGACATTTGAGTCATTATAATCTTTGGCACTTTCAAATGGGCCTGCTGGAATATTCTAGCGTATATCTTTTGGTGAACATATATGTGCATTTCTGTTGGGCACATATCTAAGGGTGGAATTGCTAGGCATGCATGTGTTCAGCTTTGGTAGGTATTGCCACACTGTTTTCCAAAGCAGCCGCAGCATTTTCCATTTTCCTTAGCAATGTATGCAAATTCCATTTGCTCCACATTATTAAAAATACCTGCTGTTGTCTGTGTTTTTACATTTTCTCTCATTGAAGCAAAAGAGTACTCTATACATCCTTGATATGGGTGTCCTTTGTGTTATGTATTGCAAACATTTACCATTCTGTGGCTCATCTTTTCATTGTTTTTCGTTATGTTTTGATGAACATGAAGTTGTAATTTTAATGTGTGGCATTTATTTAAAAAACCCTTACTGGCTAGTGCTTTTTGTATCTTGACGTCAATTCTTTCTTTCCCTACCCTGTGGTTAATATATTCTTTTTTTTTTTTTTTTTTTTTTGAGACAGAGTGTCACTCTTGTTACCCAGGCTGGAGTGCAATGGCGTGATCTCGGCTCACCGCAACCTCCGCCTCCTGGGTTCAGGCAATTCTCCTGCCTCAGCTTCCTGAGTTGCTGGGATTACAGGCACGCGCCAGCTAATTTTTTTGTATTTTTAGTAGAGACGGGGTTTCACCATGTTGACCCGGATGGTGTCCATCTCTCGACCTCGTGATCCACCCACCTCGGCCTCCCAAAGTGCTGGGATTACAGGCGTGAACCACCACGCCCGGCCGGTTAATATATTCTTTTACTTTTTCTTTCTAAAATGTTTATGATTTTATATTTTACTTTTAGATTTGTAATGCAATGTGAATGGATTTTCGTGTATAGTGTGTTAGGAATCCAATGTAATGTTTTGTCCATATGGATGCCAACATTTTCCAGCATCTTTTATTGAATTTCTCCTTCTGTGAAACCTTTGTCATAAATCAAGTGTCTATATGTGTTAGACTAGTTTTGGATTTTTTATTCTACTTCATTTACCTATTTGTTTATCCCTATGCCAATTACTACATTGTTTTAATTATTATAACTTTAAAATAAGTCTCAATATATTATACAACAATTTCATCTTATTCTTTCTCTTCAAGAAGGACTTGGCTATTCATAAACCTTTGCATTTTCATATTAATTTTATAATCAGCTTGTTGAGTTCTACAAAAGGAAAGCCTTGGGATTTTCATTCAGGTTGCACTGAATTCATAAATCAGTTTGGGAATAACCGACATTTTCAGATATCATGTTTTCTACTTCATGTATGCGGTCTATCTTGAAAGTTATTTAGGTCCTCTTTAAAGTCAGTAAATTGCCATAGTTTTTTTTTCCATGGAGATCTTGCAAATTTTTAGCTAGACTTATTTGTAGGTACTTGTTAGTATTTTATTCCACTATTCATTTTGTTTTTACTTCCTTGTTGTGCCTCACCTAACTGACACACTCAAACCTAACTTTCCCCTAGGGCTCTCCTAGAAAGTGGCTATCTTGGCTTATGACCATTCTCAAGGGAGAGACCTCAAGACCAAATTAGAAGGAAACCATAGCAAGGAAAATCACTATGGGGGCCATCTTCCAGCTTCTAACCAGAAAGAAATCAACCTCCTTCAGCTCAGCAAACCTGTAGGCAATGTGAGCTGTGTGACAATCCAACACAGGTGGAGAGCCAGCACTGATTTGGTCTGGATGGTTCAGGATAATCACATGAGCACTAAAGCCAGCTGCTTCTGTTGGTGAGTCATTTTCACTGTCACAAGCCATATTGCCATGATGAACATCTTTGACAGACATATTCTTGACACTGAATCCCACATTGTCCCCAAGAAGAACTTCACTTGAAGCTTCATGATGCAATTCAACAGACTTTACTTCAATTATAATGTTAACTGGAGCAAAGCTGACCAATCATGCTGGGTTTGAAAGCACCAGTCGCCACTAAGCCCACAAAGACAGTACCAATACTACCAATTTTGTAGACTTCCTGGAGAGGTAGGCACAAGGCTTGTCAGTTGGATGAGCTGGTGGTATGATGTAATCCACATATGTTCCACTGGCATTGCCATCTCTGCAGGTGAATTTCCACCCCCATTTTAAAATTGCATTTTAGGTTTTGGGGTACATGTGAAGAACATGCAGGATTGTTGCATAGTTACACATGTGTCAGTGTGATTTTTCTGCCTTCCTCCCCTTCACCTGTATCTGGTATTTCTCCCCATGCTATCTCTCCCCAGCTCCGCACCCTCCGCTGTCCCTCCCCTATTTCCCCCAACAGACCCCAGTGTGTAGTGCTCCCCTCCTTGTGTCCATGTGTTCTCATTGTTCAACACCCGCCTATGAGTGAGAACATGTGGTGTTTGATTTTCTGTTCTTGTATCAGTTTGCTAAGAATGATGGTTTCCTGATTAATCCATGTCCCTACAAAGGACACAAACTCATCATTTTTGATGGCTGCATAGTATTCCATGGTGTATATGTGCCACATTTTCCCTGTCTAGTCTATCACTGATGGGCATTTGGGTTGGTTCCAGGCCTTTGCTACTGTAAACTGTGCTGCAAGGAACATTCATGTGCATGTGTCCTTATAGTAGAATGATTTATAGTCCTTTGGATATATACCCAGTAATGGGATTGCTGGGTCAAATGAAATTTCTATTTCTAGGTCCTTGAGGAATCGCCACACCGTCTTCCACAATGGTTGTACTAATTTACACTCCCACCAACAGTGTAAAAGTGTTCCTATTTCTCCACATCCTCTCCAGCATCTGTTGTCTCCAGATTTTTAATGATCACCATTCTAACTGGCGTGAGATGGTATCTCAATGTAGTTTTGATTTGCAGCTCTCTAATGACCAGTGATGATGAGCATTTTTTCATATGTTTGTTGGCCTCATGTATGTCTTCTTTTGTAAAGTGTCTGTTCATATCCTTTGCCCATTTTTGAATGGGCTCATTAGTTTTTTTCTTGTTAATCTGTTTGAGTTCTTTGTAAATTCTGGATATCAGCCCTTTGTCAGATAGGTAAACTGCAAACATTTTTTCCCATTCTGTTGGTTGCCGATTCACTCTAGCGACTGTTTCTTTTGCCGTGCAGAAGCTGTGGAGTTTCATTAGGTCCCATTTGTCTATTTTGGCCTTCGTTGCCAATGCTTTTGGTGTTTTGGTCATGAAGTCCTTGCCTACGCCTATGTCCTGAATAGTTTTGCCTAGATTTTCTTCTAGGGTTTTTATGGTGCTAGGTCTTATGTTTAAGTCCAAGACAAGACTTTCCACCCCTTTAACCAAGGCATGTTAGCGTGTTGTCAGTATTCCAACCAGAAATTGGCATAAATACTACTGTGTTGGGATTGTAGCCAATATTCTTAATGTAGGGCTGACTTCTCTAATGATTTTCACATAGCTCTGTTGGCTATGGCATTGTTCAGTGAAATCTATTTTGTTAACTCCAACAATTAGTTGTTTCACACCCAGTATGTAAACCAGAAGGGCATGCTCATGGGTCTGCCCATTCTTGAAGATGCTAGCTTCAAATTTGCTATCACCCCCAGCAACAATAAGGACAGTACAGTCAACCTGAGAGGTGCCTATAATGATGTATTTTAAAATTGTACGTGTTTTGAGAAAACATGTGATATTTTGATATATTAATACAATGTGTAATAATCAAATAATGGTAATTGGAATATCAATCACTTCAATCATTTATCATTTATTTGTGTTGGGGAACACTCCCAATCTTCTCTTCTAGCTATTTTGAAACATACAATAAATCATTGTTAACTATAGTCACCCTACTATAATATCAAACACTATAACTTAGCCCTTCTAAGTTTAATTTTATGCCTATAACTCAACCTCTCTTCATTCCACTGAACCCTCTATACCCTTCCCAAATTCTGTTAAGCACCATTCTACTGTCTCAGTGAGATCCACTTTTTAAGCACTCACATATAAGTAAAAACGTGATATTTGTCTTTTATATCTGGCTTATTTCACTTAACATAATGACATCCAGGCTTATCCATGTTGCCATAAATGACAGGATTTCATTCTTTTTAATGGCTGAGAATATTCTGTTGTGTATATACACCACATGATCCATTCATCTGTTG